GGGGCCCGGCGCGCTGCAGCTGGCCTTCCTGTGCGAGTACGACGCGCTGCCCGCCCTGGGCCACGCCTGCGGTCACAACCTCATAGCCGAGGTCGGGGTGGCTGCTGCTCTGGGCCTGCGGGCTGCCCTGGAGGGCGTCGCCGCGCCACCGCCCGTCAAGGTGAGCCACGCGAGGCCGAGGCGGTGTCTGTGCGGACCCCGCCCGGAGCACCGTGCCAGTTGTTTTTGGTGACAGACAGCTGCAGTTTGCTGACTAGGCTGTGCGAGCTCAGGACAAAATAAAATTTTGTAGACTCAAGAAAGAAAAGAAAAAAGAAAAAGATTTTGATTTGAGTAATTGGTATTTGCATACATAGTAAATTTTAGTCTTTAGAACTACCAGACTACCAAACCTCTGCAAGAGTGGAAATAACGGAGAAGCGAATAAATATTTATTACATAGATGGGGTCATATTTAAGGGTTAATCTTTATCTCACAATTACAAGAGGCGTCTCGGTTCTTGAAGCAGAATGTCGTGCTGGTCTGTCATCTTACTCCTCAGAAGGTGTAGTTAGTTCTACATTCTGTGAGCCAAGAACCGGCTGTCACTCAGCCGGGTCCCCCACACCACCTCCATGGCCAGTAATCCTCTACTGGATTAATCTCTTGTGGTTCTTTTTCTTTACCTCCCTTCTCTTTTATGCCTCTGGGTTTTTGTCGTATTGGGGAGGGTGTGAGACCCTGGGAACTTTTTTTAGAAAAAAAGTTCCCAGCAGTCAGTAAGAGCCCGTTAGGTTCGGAATAGGAGCAGCTCTGGCCAGGCGTGGTGGTGCATGCTAGGCGGACCTCAGAGTTCCAGAGATCAGCCTGGTCTACAGATGACTCCAGGGCATCCGGAGAGACTGTCTCAACCTCCCCCCCTCTCCTCCCGCCCCAAAGCAGCTCAATTTAAGAATTTTGATACTTTATAAATTTAAAAATAAATACAACCAGACTTGAGAAATATGCCAACTTCAAATGGTTGTTCTCAGCAAATGGTTGTTCTCAGCAAGGCTCCTCTCCTATCAGAAAATTGTAAGTGGATTCCTTTTGCTCGTAAAGCCTTTTTTTTTTTAAACCCCAACTTGTTTCATTGTATTTTTATACATGGTCTTGAGAATACATTCATTTTATGAAGATAATTTGTCTTTGCTTAAAAAAATGCTTGAAGAAGTTAAGCTTACATATCAAAGTAAAATGTTTATTCTGTAAAGTTCTCTTTTGTTTGATTAGGTGTTTGGTGACCATTAAATCTTCCTGGTTGAACTGGTGGAATCGAATTAGTAAGTTTGTATAATAGTTGGCGGTTTCTAACCATGGTACTGAGCTTGTTTAACGCTCGACAATGAAGGGTTAATGAGCTAGGCCTGTCTAAGTGTTTTCCCAGTAAGGAATGAGAGCTAGCTGAAGGTCAGGGCAGCTGTCTAAGATAATTGCAGCTCGGAAGACTTGCTCCGTAACCTTGGAAGCCTAAACCTCCCTGAACTGGTACAGACCACTCACCTACCTCACAGGGATGTTGTGAGGGTCACAGGTCACATGCAAGCTCCTTACCAGTCAAGCTATGACTAACTGTATACCTATCACATAGTATGCTAACGGGCTTAGCTTGAAGAGACTTTAACAGATGAGTCCTAGCTAATGTTGAAGAACCTACACACATAGAATTCTACTTTTTTTTTTGTCTTTGTTATAACTTAGTTAAAATTGAGTTATCAGATTGGGGAAATTTTCCTGTAGCATTTCTAGCATGCATTTATACCAGATTACTATAATGTTACAAATTAAATCTTGTGACTCTGCACCATATATTTTTATTCACTGTGTGTCAGAAAATAACTTCTCTTTAGGGTTTAAGGACTTAAGTATATATTCTGAATGAGTATGCACTAAAACCTATTTAATGTTTTTCTGTTACGAGTCTCTTTGTGCTAACGTACATCTATTTCCTCGTAGGTCATTGTCCTGGGAACCCCTGCAGAAGAAGAAGGTGGTGGCAAAATTGATTTAATTGAAGCAGGTGCCTTTAAAGATCTCGATGTGGTTTTTATGGCTCACCCATCTCAAGAGGATGCCGCCTATCTACTGGATGTGGCCGAGCATGAGTGAGTAGTCACATTGAAGATAAATCCTTGGTGGACAGCAGACTGAAGCGTACTCGAAACTAGGTCAGGGAGATGTTTAGTGGGTGAAAGCACTCGTGCAAGCATGGCGACCTAAGTTCTATCGCCAGAGCCCACGTCGAAGGGGTGCAAACCGAGCTCTGCTTTAGTCTCCGCGGGCACCCCATTGCATGCTTACCGCACTCCCCCATCAACACAGACAGAATTTAAAAAAGAAAAGGAAACTGAGCCAGACTCTCACACTCTGCGTTTATACATTTAAAAGGTGAAATGGCCTGAGCGTGGTGCGACTCACCTGTGACCTCGCTGCTCAGGAGGCCAGTGTAGACTGCACAGGAGGACCCTGTGGACTCAGCGATAATGATGTGACCTTTGTCCTAAACTGGCAATCATGAGGTGTTATCGCGGTCATAATTGAAACTATTATAGGGGTATTAAGCAGGGGTACCAAACACAGTGTTCTCTTTTAAGTTCAGTCTGGTTTCTGGAATGCAGTTGTCCCTTTATAAGGAGTTGTCTGTACAAGGGATGGTTTACTGGACCTGGGAAGAAAGCCCTTCTCCATACTGTTTCTAACTTGGCGTTACGGAACTGGAGGGCTTTAGTCTTTTGTAGCTAGAAGGACGTGTCATTGAACCACAAATGACGGTGAGAGTAGTTGTGGTGTGGTCAGTGGTCCAGGCCCTAGGAGCCCCTGCTAGACTGTGTGAGCTGTTTTCTGTGTGGCGGAGACTCTGGGGAGTGGTAGTAGAACCCTCCCTGCAGTGTGGTTGAGCCCACCAGACCTTGTTCCCAGAGGGTGGTAGCTTAATGGTTGTGCTACCTTTCTTCATTACCAATGTGGAATTGGTACTGCGAGAGTAGAAACAATTCACTTTGCCTGGGGGATGGAGATGGATTTATCTGTGTATTTCCGGAAGATATTAGAGATTACAAATCTTTGCCAGCACTTCTGGCTGGAGGGGGCCTGCAAGCTGTAGGCAGGTTTTCCAGACTATTAGTAGTAGATATAGGCCTCATTGTCTTGGTATTAAAGTCCATTCACTTGGCTCCACATACCCCACCCCCTCAGTTATGGTCTGATGTTATAGCCCAGGCTTGCCTGGAGCTCGCTGTCTAACTGAGGTTTTCCTTGAGTTTCCGATTCTTCTGCCTCTTTCCTCGTGCTGGTACTGCAGAGCGAACCCCCATGTCCTGTTTGTGTGGCGCTGGGGAATGAAGGAGCCTCAGACGTTGTATATGCTAGAATAGCACTGTCATTGGAGCTATGCTCCCAGACCAGCTTTGCTTTGTTTTTTGATTTAAGCAGTCTCATGTAGCCTAGGCTAACCTCACATTTGCTGTATAGCCGAGGATGACCTTGAACTTCTGATCCTCTTGCCTCCCAGTGCTGGGATTACAGGTTTACACCACTGTGCCAGAGATTGAGGCCTGGGCTGCATAAATGATAGGCAAGCGTTCTACCAGCTGAGCTACATCTTTGTTAATACCCACACTACACTACACTACACTGCACTACACTACACTACACTACACACGCACCCAACTGGATTTTCTTATGTTAATGATGATGGGGGAAGTAATTTCCTGTGATTTCTTCTTCTGTTTCCTAGCGTTACTGTGAAGTACTATGGGAAGGCGTCTCACGCTGCTGCTTACCCTTGGGAGGGAGTGAATGCCTTAGATGCTGCAGTCCTTGCCTATAACAATCTCTCTGCATTAAGACAACAGATGAAACCGACCTGGAGACTTCATGGTATACATGCCAAATATTTGTATAGTAAATTATATTTCAGTGCAGTAAAATTATCTAATACTAATTTTTTTTAAAAAAAAAAAATCAGGGGTTGGAAGCCAGGCAGTGGTGGTGAAAACCTTTAATCAGCAGGCCGAGGCAGGTGGATCTCTGAGTTCAAAGTCAACCTGGTCTACAGAGTGAGTTCCAGGACAGCCAGGGCTACACAGAGAAACCCTTTCTTGAGAAACAGCAACAACAAAAATTGGGAGCTGGTGATGTAGTTCAGTTATTAGAATGCTCGCCTAGGATGCAGGGTGCATTGGGTATGACTCCCAGCACTACGTAAAACCTGTCATGTGTCATACCTGTAATTCCAGTACTTAGAATCACAGGCTCATCACATCCTCAGCCACAGGCAGATACGAGGGCATCTTAGGGTAACTGAGATCCTTTCTCAAAAGAGAAAAAAATAGCAGTTACTAGTTGTATTTACTCAGGGACTAGTATAGTACACTCTTCAAATTCTATGTGTATAAATATAGTAGCATGGTCTTCTCTTAGGGATACAGGTATGAGCTACCACACTGATTTATAATTTTCTTTCTTTCTTGCCCTCCCTCCTTTCCCTTCTCAGTTTATTTCTTTATAATATAGTAAATCTCTATTCTTTACCCATTTTTGCTATATGTAAAATCATTTTGTAATTGTGCTTTTGCTAGTTTCTTGTCTTAATTCTTTCCTGGTGTGGGTAGCAGTTAATTTGAGATAGGCTCTCACTGTGTAGTCTCGGGCACCCTTATATTCAAGCAGTCCTGTGTTAGTAGCCTGTACATATACGGCATCCTGGCCTTACCTTAATTCCCTCGAAAGGGATTAGAGTGGAAAATTTTGAATTAGCTAATGGGAGATTCAGTTTCTCTCTCTCTTTCTCTCTCTCTCTACACACACACACACGTTTAAGAAGAGGTCGTCTCCTGTAGCCCAGGCTATAACCAAGGATTACCTTGAACTCATGATATTCTTGCCTCTTCAAGTGCTAGGATTATAGAGTTACACAATTATCTGGAATTAGTTTGTATATATCTGTTTTAGTTACAGGTAGAAACAAATAAATCTTGATTTTGTGTGGTCCCAAATGTGTGTTTTGATAGTTTGTAGTATTTAAGGGTCTTTGTTCAGTTTTTGTTTTTATACATGATTACAGCCAAAAGGCTGAGAAGTGATTGTAGAAGTGTAGTAGATTGGTATGAAAACTATTTCTCCACTGCTAAGTGTCATTTAAAATGTTGGTAGGATTTTTCAAATAGGATGGTGGTTACAGAGCCACATATAATTATAAAAGATTATGTCAAAAGTTTATCAAATCACAACTATAATAAAGCCTACTGAGATAAATTTCCTTCAGAAAGTTTAAGATACCACTGTCAGGCTAGGCGGTGGTGACGCATGCCTTTAATCCCAGCACTCAGGGAGGCAGAGGCAGGTGGAGCTCTGTGAGTTTGAAGTTAGCCTGCTCTACAGAGTGAATTCTAGGACAGCTGGAGATATATAGAGAAACCCTGTCTCAAACAACAACAACAAAGATACTACTGTCTGTTTTGTGGCTAAAAAAGTCTGAATTTCTTTATAACTTAGATTATCCTCTTTCCCTCTTCACCTCTTTTTTTTTCTTTCTTTCTTTCGAGCTCTGGGAATTAAACCCAGACTCTCACACATGATAGGAAAATGCTCTGTCATTAAACTTTACCCTCAACCCAAATTGTGATTCCTTAGTATTAAATAGATTCCTTAGAATAAAGTACATTCAGACAGTTTTCCCTTGTTATCTGGAAATAACTCCTCTCTGTGGAAGTGTTGTACAGTGTATCAAAATCTTTGGTTTATCAGTGAAGCTAATAAGTATAAATTATTTTCCTTTTTGTAAGGGCTACAAAACTTTCTTTAAACAAATCATCAAATTTAACCTCAGTGATTTGGTTCTTTTATAGGTATAATAAAAAATGGTGGCGTAAAGCCCAATATCATCCCCTCTTACTCTGAATTAGTCTATTACTTCCGTGCACCCTCAATGAAAGAGCTTCAGGTTCTGACCAAAAGGGCCGAAGATTCCTTCCGAGCTGCTGCTTTGGCTACGGGCTGCACAGTAAGAGCCTTCTCAGAGTTCATTATGGTCAGCTACAGTGGCCTGCGCTGTTGGCGCTGCTGCATTAAAGCCTGCTTTGCTTCTATTCCATACAGTGACTTTTGTTTGTGCCGGAGGTAGTGCTGGGAATCTCTCAGGGCCTTGCCCTCACTGGTGATGTCTTAAACCTGTAAAATGAGTTGGCTAGAGTTTTAATGTGAAATCTTTTAATGAGCATTTAATATTTAATTAATTTTTTAAATTAATATTTAATTCTTGTACATTTTCTTCAGTGTCTGCAATAGAAAATACTATACAGCTCATCTTACTTAGGCAGTAGCTGGAAAGGCTTAGCAGTCACTGTGCTAGAACCCCTTCCTTTTTATATCACTCTGTGTCGTTTCCACAAAGGGCACTTTATGACAGTATCTGTGTGTCTTTGGCAAAGATGTGGTATAAGTGTGTGTTTGGCTTGCTGGGATGGAGTTAAGACAGACTCAGAGCAAAGGAGATTTTGTTGATTAGAACCGTAAGTCAGAAACATTTCGGTATCAGCTGTGTGCTGCAGCATGGGATGAAGTTCACAGGTACATAAAGTTCAGATATTGCAGTCAGGTTGGAGACACAAGATCTTAGGTGTTGTTCTTAGAGAGAAACAAGATCCTATGTCTCGGCCATGAGGAACAGTATGTCTGGGGCTGCTTCTCTCTCTCAAAAATAGGGGTAATATTGAAATCTCTCCGAGTTTCTGGAGGGAGACAAATGAAGTAGCGTCTGTGAAGAGGGCCCAGCCCAGCCTTCCTTTGGTTCTGTGCTTGGCCTGGCAGTGCATGGTTTGTTGGCATGGTAGTAGTGTCTGCGGTTATCGTCGTGGTCTGTACTTCCTGTCTCAGGAGGAACAGAGCAGGTAAAGTTTCAGGGTGGAGCTATAGCTTAGCCTGACAAGCACAAGCCCCTGGGTTCAGCTCCCAATTGGTGGGATGGGAGGAGAAGGTTTTCTGGAAGACTGCAGACCAAATTGAGCTTTGAAGGATAGTCATACTTCCAGATATATGAACACAGAGAGATCTCAGGCAGGGAGTGTGGTTGGTTGGAAAGGTAAGAATGTATAAACACTCGTGTGTGTGTGTGTTGTGTGTGTGTGTGTGTGACTAGGTAAATACATGGATAAGTGTAGGAGTAAGGACATATCCTCTTAGGCTATTGGCAAAGAGATTTAGTGTGCAACTGTAAAGCTTCCACAACCCAGGAAAACTAAATACTTATTCCTTTATAACTATAAATAATTTAAATATTTTTAAAGTTAGATATATGAACTATCATTAGTTAATATCTCTGGGTATTTCCTAAGCTAAGAGTTAGGGACTGGAGAGATGACTCAAAGTACTTACTTTGCAAGCTGAGAACCTGGTTTGATCTCTAGAACCCACTGGCAGGGGTTTTCCAGAGCCAGCGGCAGGTGTGGTGTAGTGCACTTGTAATCCCAGCTCTGAGAGACAGAGATAGGCAGATTTCTGTGCTCACTAGCCAGCCAGCCTACCTTGCGTGGTGAGCTCCAGGCAAAAGGAGAGAGAGACCCTGTCTCAAAACCCAAAGAGGATGGGCTCCTGATGAATGTCACCTGAGCTTGTCCTTTTCTCTTTCACGTGCACACAAAAATTAATAGGGTTTATGGGTGGATTTAAATCTATATTTAAGTAGCCTTTTACTGGTTTATATTTTGGGTGATGTATAAGATTTAATTGGGTTGCCATTATTTATTCCTATCTTAGATGTTGCCAAGAATAGAAGAAATTTGATCTCTAATGTTTGATAATTAGTTTTTGCTTACTGAAAACAAACTGTTAAGTGCGCTTATGCACTTGCCTAAACCTGCTTCTGTGTCTTCATGTACTCGATCTATAAGCAAGGCCCATTGTGAGCCTGCCTCCCTAAGTGTCTGTAGTCCCTGAGGATGCCTTTGGAACGAGGCTGTGACATCTGGGACAGTTCCGTGTTAAGTGTGTTGAGTTGTTTAGATGCCCTGCCTTTTCCTTTTGGAGACTGAAGTATAAGCAGTGTCCATCAGAGTGCTTTGGATTACCTGCATCAGAATTGCCTGGAGGTTCGGGTTTTAAAATGGAAGTTTCTGGGTACTCGCGATGCCCTTTTTAGGTGACTGAAGTTGATTCTTGCTGGCCAGGATGGAGTTTAGTGATACTCGGTGGTGTAGTGCTTGTGTAACAGAGCAAATGGGGCATTAGGAGCTCTAACTTTATAACGCACTGTTTGTTTTTTAAGGTAAGAAATTTATGAGGGTTTTATAACTGGGATGAAAAGTGCCCATCCTGAAACTTTTCCTGTTAGAAACTGTCACTGTTTTGGACTTCATGAATTTGAGTTTTTAATCTCAAGCTTTGTTTTGTCATTTTTTATTAGGTGGAAATTAAAAGTGAAGCACACGATTATTACAATGTTCTTCCCAATAAGACACTGTGCAGTGCATATGTGGAGAATGGGAAGAAACTGGGAATAGACTTCATCTCAGAAGATGCAATATTGAATGTCCCTTCAGGTAACTAAGCTGCTGTAGAGTGAGCTGTTTGAATAGGAGAAGTGCCAACTTAGGTTGGACAGTCTTCAGGGGTAAGGAAGAGCGGCTGGTGTGTCTGCTTCAGGCAGGGTCTTGATGTAGCTCAGGCTGGCCTCAAACTCCGTCTGTAACTGATGCTGACCTTGACCCTCCTGCCCCTACTCCCCAAATTCAGGGATTATAATCCATGCTACCACACCTGGGTTTATTGGATGCTGGGGATTGAACCAGGCTTTGTGCATGTTAAGCAGGCACACTCCCAACTATGATAATTTTTTTAATGTGTATGAATATTTTGCCTGCATAGGTATATGTATAGTATCAGCTTACCTGGTGCCCTTGAAGGCCAGCAGAAGGCATTGTATTCTCTGGAACTGGAGTTACAGGCAATTAGGAACTACCATGTGGGTGTTGAAACCCAAACCTGGGTATTCTGCAAAAGCAGCAAATGCTTTTAACTGCTGGGCCATCTTTCCATCTCCATGATGATATTTTTTTAATTGTTTTGATTGAGTGATTTATTTTTCTCCACTCCCCTCCCCACAACCCCCTCCATACCCTTTTTCATACCCTTTTCCATAATCCACACGCTCCTAATTTACTCAGATCTTGTCTTTCTCTATTTCCCATGTAGATTAGATTTGTGTATGTCTCTTTTAGGGTCCTCATTGTTGTCTAGGTTCTCTGGGATTGTGATTTGTAGACTGGTTTTTCTTTGCTTTATGTCTAAAAGACCACTTATGAGCTAGTACACATGATATTTGTCTTTCTAGGCCTGAGTTACCTCACTCAATATGACGTTTTCTAGATCCATCCATCCATTTGCTTGCAGATTTCAAGATGTCATTATTTTTTTCTGCTGTGTAATACTCCATTGTGTAAATGTACCACATTTTTCTTATGCATTCTTTGGTCAAGGGACATTTAGATTGTTTCCAGGTTCTGACTATGACAAATAATGCTGCTATGAACATAGTTGAGCATATTTCCTTGTGGTACAATTGAGCATCCTTTGGGTATATACCCAAAAGTGATATTGCTAGGTCTTGAGGAAGGTTGTTTCCTAATTTTCTGAGAAATTTCCATACTGATATCCAAAGGGGCTGTACCAGTGTGCACTCCCACCAGCTATGAAGGTGTGTTCCCTTTACCCCACATCCTCTCCAGCATTAAGTTGACAGAAGTGATTTTGATCTTAGCCATTTCCTGATGATATTTTTAATGATATTCCTTCACCTTTGGTTGAAAAGAAACTAATAAATGGTTCAGTGAGTGTAGAGTGTCAAAATAGTAACATTGTTTTTTAAAAAAAAATGTTCAGTCTGCTAGGCATATTCTTGTAGTTGGCATTTACTTTTGGAATGCCAGCCAGCTCCCAAGTAAAGATATGGAGACTTATTAATTACAAATTCTTGGCCTTAGCTTAAGGTGGTCCCACTAAAACTCCTTGTTGGAGGAGGCTGCTCATTCATTCATCTTTTTCTTCCTTGTTTTATTCCAAGGCTCTACTGATTTTGGAAATGTCAGTTTTGTGGTTCCTGGGATTCACCCATATTTTTACATTGGGACCGATGCTTTGAACCATACGGAACAGTACACGGAAGCTGCCGGTGAGCATGAGGCATGAACACAGGGTTCTCCCTCTTCCTACCAAGTGTTCTCTCTAACATCACTCAGAAGTAGGAGAGGCAATTTAAAGAGGTAATACAGGGAATTAATAAATGCATTTTAGTATATAGAAAGATATTTTAATTTGTTTCCTTTATCTTCTAGGATCACAAGAAGCTCAGTTGTACACACTGCGTACAGCCAAAGCCCTGGCCATGACTGCGCTGGACGTCATCTTTAAGCCTGAGTTGCTGGAGGGAATCAGAGAGGAGTTTAAATTGAAGCTTCAAGAAGAACAGATTTTAAATACAGCAGCATAGAAGGCGTGCTTCGGGACTGCTCAGGAAGCATTAAGTTTTGTTTGTTTGGTTGTTTTACCTCTAATACTTTTTCAGTGCAAGAGAGCATACTTGTTTCTCAGTTGTGGCAAGGACAACATAGTGAAGGCCCTAATGGAGTTTGTGATCCTTCAGACATTGGTCTGTGATGCCATTTCTTAAAATAGATGGCACGTGATTCTATAACGTGGTAGTGTCTTTTGTATAGTTTTACAAATCCCACAGGTTTCAACACTTAATACTTGTGAACTGTGTTCAGAGAAGTGAATATCTCCTCAGCAGTTCAAAGTTGGGGGAGTTTAAGTCTAACTGTATCTGGTTTGATCTAGAGAAAAAGATGTGCCTGTAAGACACACGAAGAATTATCTTTACTTTTAACTTTGTTTTATAAAAGAAAATGTTCTTTATTTGCATGTAATTACTCCAAGAAGTGGCATAGGAGCAGTGTAACAGCAAAAGGAGAAGTGACAGAAAAGCAAGGTGGGCCCTTCTAGGGTTAGGCTGCCGTGTGGGAGAGGAGGTCAGACTGGGTGTGTTCTGCTCTCCAGTGTCCTGCACTCTGCTCACCACCCAGCAGCCACCCGCCCCACAGAAGCCCCCTAAGCCCCTGCTGGCCCAGAGGTAGTAACCGTGGAAAGACAGCTTCTGTGTCCCCATGCTGTGCCTTAACTAAGTTTCTGGCCTTCTCTCAGGACTTTCTCTTTGCTGTCTCAGCTTGCTTTCTACCTTTGTGTCACTAGAGCATTCTGAGAAAGTGAGGATTTTACCTAGAAATTTGAGACATTTCATTGGTTGTCAGTAAAATCACTGGCAATAATAATCCTGGAAAAGCGGGAAAAAGTCACGTAAAATCACTAGTATCTCATGATTCTTACTTGGGCATAAATTTCTCTGTTTCAGACAAGTGTTTCCTTCTGTTTCGCCCTCCTCCCTTTCTAGCTGCAGTCCTGCTGCCCGTCAGGTACTGGAGCCGTCGGCATGAGCGTGCACTCCTGCCGTTTAGAGTGAGCTTCTGCACATGATTACAGATGTAAACCGCTGGTGAGACAAACTCTTAGGCACAAGAGAGAGAGCTTGGGTGTGGGACCCAAATAGAGCTATAGAATCCCTTTATGTATCATGTGCACTGCCACATACACATAGCTTGAAGGAAGTTCTGTCCAGTGCTTTTAGTGTGCCTGAGATTTAACAGACCTGTTTGTCCAGGCCAGTTGTGTAGTTATCTGCCTGGGTCATACCACTAAAAACGTTTGGATTTTGAAGCATTCTGGATTTGAGGTTAGGTGTGTTCAACTTGTATTATTACTAGTAAGTTGCTATGTATTCTATGACTGTAGCTAATATTTAGCTTGCCTCAAATTTTTTAAACTGATTTTTAGTCTTAATAAATTCTCTTTATTGAATGAGGTACACAGGAATTTTTTTTAACTTTGTCTGTCTGTAGCATAAATGCTAAGAGTGTTTAAGGTAGACATTGCATGTTTTTAAGAGGATGTGTAAACATGAAGGGGTCCTCACACTCTCCCAGGGTGGTCAGTGGTATAGTTCCATTGATTTATTAAAAAAAAACAAACAAACAAAACTGTTACAGTATCCTTTAAAAAGAACAGTTGTCACACTTTGTAACATTTTTTAAAAGAAAAAAAATTTCTAATGGTTTTTATGTTTTGTGATTTCTGACTTTTTACCTGAAGCAATCTTCTGAAACACGTCCCAGATCATCAGAGTAAGTTTTGATGAGAATTGTAATCCTTGTGCCAGTTAGCAACTATCGTCATTTGTGACATAGAATAAACTCACCACTTCAGACTCTGCGACCTAATGACACAGCTTAGGCTATGCGTGCGTGTGTGTGTGTGTGTGTGTGTGTGTGTGTGTAGGTCTGGGCTCCCATGCACATCTGTGGGAGCCAGCGGAGGATGTCAGGCAGCCCATTTTATCAGTTCCATCCCTTTGAGACAGGGTCTTTCACTGAACCCAAAGCAAGGTTGGTGGCCAACAAGCACCAGTGACCTGTTCCTCCCCCCGCAGTGCTGGAGTTATAGGGGCAGGCTTGTGGCCATGCCTGGCCTTTCCTGTGGGTGCCAGGGATTTGAACTCAGATTCACACACAAATACACATATATTTGTGACTGCATGTTATATGACACATTTCATGGCACATTGTGTGACAGGCTTTTCCTGGGGAGATGCAAACAGACATATGCTCACCTCTGATAGGGAACCAGTGACAGACCACAGGCCACCATCAAAGTCAGAGAACCCGTGACAGACCGAAAGGACACCAGCAAAGTCAGGGAAGCCGTGACAGACCGAAAGGACACCAGCAAAGTCCAGCGAGTGTACTGGTGAATTTTACCGCAGTCACTTTTGAGCAGAAATGAGTCAGAGACAGCTGCATCACCAAAGCTGGTACCAGTATGGGTGACAACTCAGCTCCCAAAGCTGGGAACCTGGAGTCCACTGCACAGCCTGGAGTGTGTCTTCAGGTAGCTGGTCTGGTCTCTGCTTCTTTGAGGCAGCTAGGCTGACTTGAGCCTCTCCTAAGCAGCTTGTCTGAGAATTGAGGCATCTCAGCTTAAGAGTCTTGTAAGCAGGTGGTCCATCTCTTCAGGTGGTACTCCGTAGTGTTTATGTGCGCTTGGGGAAGAAGGGACCTTGTGTATCTTGTCAGTTTCAGTGACTTCCTGTATAAAAGTTGAGTTGTTTACTTTGTGAACTGAACTAGTATCTTTGCAGGTTTACCTCTCTGTAGAGCACCCTATGTCTTAACAGTGGGTTTCCTCTAAGATGGACAGGAAGATGCTACACAACACATGGAGGTCAGAGGACAACTTTCCAGGAGTTGCTTCTCTGCTACCTCATTGAGGCAAGGCCTTTCATTGTTTCTGCCACTGTGTACTCCAGCCCAGCTGGCCCACAGGCTTCCTGGTGACTCCCTGCCTCCTGGTGCAGCCCATCAGCCCCAGCTTTGGAATTTTGAGGTGTGTTAAGTCTGGAGTTTAGTGTCACATGAATAGAGAAGAATTATCTGGATAACACAGTCACGTACCAAGATACTGTGATGGTGAGTCTTATCACCTTGACAGGATCTGGAATCTACCTAAAGACATGTCTTTGGTTGGTCTATGAGAGCATTTCCAGAGTAGATTAGACTCTTACCCCAGAGTGGGTAGAACCTTCTAGCTGCAGCCTAGATGTAAAAAGATTCAAGCAAAAGTCCATCTTGCCTGCCTGTCTAGGTTCTTGCTGGTGAGCGTATTGCATTCACCGTCGCTGTTGCTGCTGCTGCCCTCTCCCGCTGCATTAGGGGCCGCCGGAGTCTCCCAGGCCGTCAGTGCCAGGTTGGGACTACAGAGACATCTGGTTTTTGGACTAAGCAGCAATCAGGTTTCTAGCCTCTCCAGCTTATAGACGACCACTGCTGGCTTGCTCAGCCCCTGTTGTATAATGAGCCACCCCAGAGATGCCATTTTATTTTGCACATTCTGTTTGTGACTCTAGAGAATGCTGCCTATGCAGGCACTGTGAAGCCTAGAGCAGAGAACTGGCTATGTAAGTGTATGGATCTGAGTTCAAATCCTCAGCACCAAAGAGCCCTCTGCGTCCTATTCCTTTCTTAAGTGTTTGGAGGGGCTCCTACCAGGGAAGCAGGTAGGCAGGCTGCAGATCTCATCTCCCTCTGTTTCTCGAGACCCAGCTCCTCAGTCTGATTCCAAGCTCTGCCACAGAAATCTTTCTACAACCTTCCCTGCCCCCTGCCCTTTCACCCTAACCTAACTCCAGCCGACTTACATTCCCTGCTAACTCAAAGGCCACTCCTTTCAGGGAAGCGGGCTGACTTCAGATCTTCAGATCTTCTCTCCTTCTGCCCCTCCATACCTTGCCCTCTCAGTCTCATCCCCAACTCTGTAACAGAACATCTGCTGCCGTCTCCCTTTCCTCTGTGACTCCATCTCCAAGGGCCTCAAAGACTTTCTCCAACCTTCTTTCCCCAACTCATCCTAGTATCCCAGCTTCCAACACCAGCAGGCATTCTCTGAACCTCAGGGCCTGAGGGCATACCCCGTCAGACCCCTAGCCTGTCCCCAGTCTTAAGTGTCAGCTCCCAGTAGCCATAACCCCCAGTGACCACAGCTATGGGGTCCAAAGAAAATTTCCCACCAGGCAACACACAGCCATCATACTGCCCAAAAATCTAGAGAGAAAATAGAAACCAAGGGACAAAGTACCCACCCAACAGAGACAAATCCAGAAACCAGCACCTAGACCTATAACCATGCCAAGGCGAGATACCTAGAGGCCAGTGTTAAAACAATAATATTAGCCAGGCAATATATCCCCATAGAGCCCAGCTATCCTACCACAGCAGGCCCTGAATACTCCAACTTCAATATAGCTGAAGAACAGGAAAAAAATCCTTAAAATTGTCTGTATGAAGATGGATGATAGAGGTCCTTAAAGAGGATATAAATAAATCCCTTAAGTCCAGTAAAACACAAGCAAACAGTGGAAGAAAATGAATATAACTATTTAAAACCTGAAAGTGAAAATCGAATCAGTAAAGAAAACCCAAAATGAAGCAATTCTGTGCTGTGGGACAATGGTCTTGTACACTGTAAAGATTTGTCACTTGTACTGGTTTAATAAAATGCTGATTGGCCAGTAGCCAGGCAGAAAGTATAGGCAAAACAACCAGAACAGGAGAATTCTGGGAAGAGGAAAGGCTCAGTCTGCAGTCATCACTCAGACATAGAGGACACAAGATGAGAATACCCCACTGATACCAAGCCACAAGGCTAATACAGAATTATGGCTTAATGTAAGATATGAGTTAATAAGAAGCCTAAACTAATAGGTCAACCAGTTATAATTAATACAGTTTCTGTGTGATAGTTTCGGGTCTGGGCAGCCTCCATCTACAATTCTAAAAATGAAAAATTTAGGAATTCAGACAGGAACTACAGAGGCAAGCTTCAGCAACAAAATTCAAGAGATGGAACAGAGAATCTCAGGCATTGAAGATATGATAGAAGAGATGGATATATTGGTCAAAGAAAATGTTAAATCTAAAAAAACTGACACAAAACATCCAGGAAATCTGGAACATTATGAAAAGACCAAATCTAAAAGTAATAGGAATAGAGAAAGAAGAATCTCAGCTCAAAGACAAAAAAAAAAATATTTTCAGCAAAATCAGAGAAAAAAGCTTTCCTAACCTAAGACGGAGATTCCTATAAAGGTGTAAGAAGCATACAGAACTCCAAATAGATTGGACCAGAAAGGAAAGTTCCCTTGGCACATAATTATCAAAACACCAAATGTACAGAACAAAGAGAATATTAAAAGCTGCAAAGAAAAAGGCCAAGTAACATATAAAGGCAGACCTATTAGAATTACATCTGACCTCTCAGTGGAGACACTAAAAGCCGGACAGGTCTGGACAGACATGCTGCAGGCTCTGAGAGACCACAGATTCCATATCAGACTACTATACCCAGAAACACTTTCAGTCACTAGGTGGGGAAAATAAGACATCCCATAATAAACAAACACAGAGACCCACAGCCGGACACCTAGCAGAGAGAAAGAGACCTTGGAGCACACAGCTAAATGGCATGTTTCCATCAACTCTCTCCCCTCAAAGCTCGGGATCCCGTGGAAGAGGTGACAGAAAGATTTAAGAGTCGAGGGGATGGGGCACACCAGGAGAACAAGGCTGTCTAAATCAACTAAACAGGGTTCCTATGAACCTACAGAGCCTGAAGCAGCAAGCACAAGGCTAACCCAGGTCTGTACCAGGTCTTCTGAGTATATATTATAACTTCCAGCTTAGTATTTTTACAGGACTCCTGAGTGTGTGAACCAAGTGGATCTCTGATTCTTGTGTCTGCTCTTGGGGCTCTTTTCCTTCTGTTGAGATTCCTTTTCCAGCCTCAGTGTGATGGTTTTCGTTTTATATTTTATTTTGTCATGTTTGGTTGTTATCTCTTAGAAGCTTGTTCTTTTCTAATGAGAGGTAAAGGGAGTGGATTTGATTGAGGAAGATGGGGAAGAGTAGAGGGAGGGAAACCACAATCAGGCTATATTATGTAAGAAAATCTGTTTTCGTTCGCTTGCTTGCTTTGATTTTTTTCGAGACAGGGTTTCTCTGTGTAACAGCCCTAGCTGTCCTGGAACTCACTTTGTAGACCAGACTGACCTCAAACTCACAGAAAGAACCTATTTTCAAAATAAGAAAAAAGAGTTTGGAGGGTTGGAGAGATAAGTCAGTAGGTAACTGATTGCTGCAAACATAAGGTCCTGGTTCAGATTCCCAGAACCCATAGCAAAGCTGAGTGTGGCAGTGCTGGCTGCATGGAACCCAATGCTACGCCCAGAGACAGGAAGATCTAGGACCTCACTATGCAGCCAGGGTAGCCAAAAAGCAAGCTTGAAGATCAGTGAGAGACTCTGTCTCTAAAAGGTGGGAAGGTGGGAAGTGATTGGGAAAGACATCCCGGTGTTAACTTCTAGCCTCTACACACGGACACAGACAAGCACATATGCACACACAGATGCACACATACACACACAGAATTATCAAATGTAGTTGGGTTTTCTTATCTACAGGTTCTGCATCCATCCTAGTCAACTAACTTTGAATAAAACCTTATTGGTAATAACACATTATTATTGAACACATGCAGACATATTTTCATGTTTGTATGTGTGTGTGGCATATGCATATGTGTTTGGTGACTTCACATGCTGAATGTGCACTCAAAAAGACCAGAGAAGACTATCAGTTGTCTTGTTTCATTACCATCCACTTATTTCTTCGAGACACTGTCTCTTCCTGAATCTAGAGCTAGGCTAGTGGTCAGCAAGCTCCAGAAGTCCTCCTGTCTCCACTCCGCCCCCTACACACACACACATACACACACACACCACAGCACTAGGGTTGCAGGCATACTCACACATGGCCACACAGTTTTCTAGGTGGGTGCTGGTGATTTCAACCCAGTTCCTCAAATTTGGTAGCAGTGCTCTTACCCATTGAACCATCTCTCCAGTCCCCAGATTTTTTCTTGTCATTACCTAAATGCTATAGTGTAACTATTTATAAAATATTAGGTGTACTGTGGTGCAAATAGACTTCCATGGGCATATGTTATCGAATGTACATGATGCTGTTGTATGACACTGTTCCTGTGCATATGTGAGCAAACATATACCACTCCTGATAGGAAACCAATGACAGACCAAATTAAAGATACTACCAAAGTCCAACTTGGTGAACCAATGAGCTTTATTGGGGTTACTTAGAGGTGCAGAAATTATTCAAAAGACAGCTGCATCACCAAAGCCCACCCCATCATGGGTGAAAACCCACAATAGTTGGAAATCCAGAGCTCATTGCATGACTTGCAGACAGCTGGATGTGTTGGAATGTGTTCCCTCCAGATAGCTTAGCTGGTCTTTGCCTCTTCCAGACAGCTTGGATCACCTGAAAGTGACTCTCAGTGGCTCTTATTGCATATTTTTATTTGGTGGAGGGAGATAGTTTATCTATTTAGTTTCAGGGACTTCCTAAAACTTTTGCGTTGTAGTTGTTTGCTTCCTGAGCTTAATTTGAATGGGCTTCTTTCCTGTGGGATAGAGGGCATCACCTTTTGTTAAGCAAGACCTAAGGAGCTTCCCTCCAAGATAAACTATCCTAACTTGGAGGAGATTGCTATAGAAAAAATGGTCTATAGACAAGGCTTCTAAAGAAGTACCTCAGGTTAAATGAGGCCATGGATGTGGGTCCTGACATAACATAACTGGGGAGAAAGGGATCTGGACATTGGTGGGAACAAAGGAAAGAAGGCAAGGGTACAGCAAGATGGTGGCCATTGGAAAGTCAGGAAGAGAGGCCTCTGGGGAAACCACATCTGCCAGCACCGTGACCTTGAACATTAGTCTCTAGAACTGTGAGAAAAGAAATCTCTGTTGACCAAGCCATTTGGCCTACAGTCTTTGATATAGCAGGTTAGCAGACTAGTAGAACATTCTACACACTGCCTCAAATGCTAGAGTATCCCAAACAGTAGGTAAGGTTTAGTTTAGACAACTCAGTGGCCCTAGTGGTGAGGGAGAAGACAGTGACAAATATGTGGACTTCAATGGTAATTGTTTCATAAAATAAAAATGGAAACTAATCTTTTTAAACCTCACATAACCCAGGCTGCCTTCAAATGTGCTATAAAGCTAAGACTAGTTTTGAACTCCAGGTCCTCCCATTTCTACTTCCCAAGTGTTGAGATTTCAGGCATGTGTAAACTATGCTTGGTAAAACAAACAGTCATTTTGTATATCAATGATAATTAATAGTTTAATTTATGCCCTTCTAAGTTTACTACTTGTGTTTGCAAAAAGCTTTTGGTGGCCTTACACTGGGGGAAATGAAAGACCGTCTAAGTAGGACTCTCATTGGGGAAATGAAATACTAAGTAGGACTTTAATTGGGGAAATGAAAGATTGTCTAGTAGGGCTTTCATTAGGGGACATGAAAAACCGTCTAAGTAGGACTTTGCAAATAGTTCTTTTAAAATCAGAATAAAGAATAGGCATGCATATATCATTTAGCATTGATCCATCAAGTTAACTTTGAAGTGATGGGAGATAGAAGGACGTATATGAAGGGTGATTTCCTAGCACTCCTGGATGGGTCTCTTAGACCACTTCCTTTTTATCAATATGTTCCACAATGTTAAATTATCATTTATGTCTCACTAAACTCTGAACACAACCACAATTTTTTTTTTTTTTTTTTTTTGGTTTTCGAGACAGGGTTTCTCTGTAGCTTTTGGGCCCTGTCCTGAAACTAGTTCTTGTAGACCAAGCTGGCCTCGAACTCACAGAGATTGGCCTGCCTCTGCCTCCTGAGTGCTGGGATTAAAGGTGTGCCCCACCACCGCTCGGCAAACACAATCACAATTAAAGGGCAATGTCTTAACTTGTTTCATTGACTGCTGGGATGAGAACAAACGTTAAATAGACATCTCTGTCTCTTTGAGAGAAAGATGGAGCCCAGAGAAAACGCCGTACTGTGAAGTGACTTTTGGGCAAGTTTGGTTGGACTTGTTCTATATCTTCTAGATAGATAACATGAAGGCTTAATTTTTTAAAACATTATTTTAAAATAACACAGCAAATTACAAGTGATGACTGACATCACTTGCCACCGGGCTACTTCATCTGGTCTATTGAACGCTCAATCTTGATGATAACTGCTGTCCAGTTCCTAGGCAGTGCTGGCTCTCAGAGTGGAAATGCAGACGTCTGTCTGTCTCTTTTGCTTTTTGATGTTATTTTCTCTTAAGAAATTGTGTGCTGGGCTGGAGAGATGGCTCAGAGGTTAAGAGCACTGGCTGATCTTTCAGAGGTCCTGAGTTCAATTCCCAGCAACCACATGGTAGCTCACAACCATCTGTAATGAGATCTGGTGCCCTCTTCTGGCCTGTAGGCTTACATAGAGGCAGAATACTGTGTATACAATAAATAAATAAATCTTAAAAAAAAGAAATTGTGTGCTTCTCATTCTCATGAGCTGTGAACCCCTCAAGTTTCCTTGAAATGCTGATTATTTAGAAGAAATTAATACCTCTTCGAGCTCCTCTGTGGTAAAATCATGCCACTGAGAAAACAGTTCACTTTAAAAGAGCACATGCTCCGTGGCAGAGAGTCACAAAACAGTGACTAGAAAACAGAGAGAGGAACACGGTTCTCTAGCACACTCAGCTCCACAAGACAGACAGAACACAAACGCGTATCTCCATCTTCAGAGTTTCTCTGCCAGAGAAAAGTCAGCCATCTAGAGAGCATTTCTTATAAGGGGATATACCTACAGGTTGTTAAAGAGAGTCTGTGAGCATCGTTGCCTTTCGTTAACTATGGGGAGAGGCCGAGTGGACGGAGGGACAGACTGAAACATGAACATCACTACTGTAGGTTAACTATGCGGGATGTAGAGTGGATGGAAGGACAGAGTGATACATGAGCATCACTGCCACACATTAACTGTGGGGGATGCCGAACAGGTGCAGGGACAGACTGAAGCACGGCCTGTCACCAGAAGGGGCTTATGTGCATGTGGACTCCGTGCAAATGAGTTTTATTCAGGTGTTCTCCAGTTCTACATTGTCTAAAGAACACAGTGCCGCCCATGAAGGAAGGCCTCCATGAGGAGAGAACCCAGGACCCAGCACTGAAACGCAGCATGACCATGTGTCCTCTGTGCTCTTCCTGGGATCTGGGAACAGCTAATACCAGTTGCTATCATGACAAATTCCTGCAACGCCTCGGATAATACTGTGTGTGCAACTGATGCTTAATACATACAAACAGGCTGTCTTGTCAGTGCAACTTTGCACGGCTGAAGAAGGGACACTGGAAGCCCAGGTGGGCACTGGGGTGGTTTTCATACTTTGTCATTCACAGCAATTTCTGGAGTGCACACAAACCACGGAGAAGGCGGGATTTACAGAATTACAGACACCTAAGAGAAAATCGACCAGTATATCAGATTAAATAAGATGTAAGCGGCTGGGAAGATGATCCGGGAGTATTTATCAATGGCATGGGTGTCAATCCTCATGCTCACGTAGCTGCCTCTCTGGCTTTTCCTCTGGGGAGAGCCCCTCTCAGAGGCCAGGGTCAGCTGCACCATCATCCTGTCGGGTTTCTCGCCATTCTCAGGCATGTAGCCGCTCAGGTCATTCACCTCCCCGTCACTGTAGCTGCCATCCAGCATCACTGCCCGGGGCTGGGCCAGTCCGCAGCTGCAGGAGACCTGCAAACACACAGGGGCGCGTGAGCTGAGCGCTGTCCCTCGGGTGCCTGCAAAAGCACTGTGTGTGAAGGGTGTGACCTTCTAGCCTCTTTTACTCTCAGCTTTAGGGACAAGGTAAGAAAAGCGATGACAGTGTCACTGTGACATCCTAAGACAACTGTGACCACAGCCCTGTGTCCGAGAGCTTACCAGCAGCCTCGAGATCAGGTCCAAGCACTAGCTTGGTGCTGATGGGAACTTCATGTTAACTTGTAGGAAAGAGCACACTGCTGTACCAGAGACCAACAAGACTAGCACCGAGTAGCCCTGTCCTCCGTGAAGTCATAATCCCTGAGCTCATACCACGTCCCCTTTGGGGAAAGTGGCGGCAAACCCAGAGTCTATATGTTAGACAAGAGTGATAATCCTGAGCTACATCTTTCTTTCATTTCTCATTTTGAAACAGCCTTGGTAAATCACCCAGTCTGGCCTCCAGCTTGTAGCTCTTCTCCTGAGAAACTGGATTCCAGGCTGTTGACACTACGCCTGGCACCAAACAAACCCTTCATAAAAATGTTTACAGATGACGCTATTTGGTGTTTGCCACAAGGGTTGGGACTGAAAGACAGCAGTTTGGGGATAGTGTTATGGAAAGGCATTGCTGAAGGAGAGAGGCTCTACGTTGTAGGCTGGGAAGGGAAAGGAAGGGCGGGAGCAAAAATAACTTAAGAAATGGTGAGAGATATGAGGTGTAATATGAAGGGAAGTTTCTTAGGCTAGAATATAGTGCCCCTGGAGGGGTCTTTTAAATCACCTCCATATTTGTTCCACCGTGTTAAACTATCATTTATTTCCCTCACTAAACTCTGAACACAACCACAATTGAATGGGCCATGCCTTAATTTAGTGGCGCTGGGATGTAGATGCTGAGTAAATGCTTTCATTGAACGAAAGATGTAAACGTCAAATATTCATGACCTGATGCGGGAGAATTGTCTGTATTCTGTCAATCATATTTTAATAAAACGCTGATTGGCCAGGCAGGCAGTATAGGTGGGAAAACCAGACAGGAAGTAGAGGTGATACAATGAGAACAGGAGAATTCTGGGAAGCAAGGAGGTTCCTCTGCCACTCCTGCGCAGACCACCAAAGAGGCAACATGTAAGCTGCCCAGCTGAAAAAGGTACCAAGCCATGTGATAACGTAGATAAGGATAATGGGGTAATATGTGTCATAAGAGCTAATAAGTAGCCTGGCCCAATGGGCCAATCAGTTTATAACCTTATGGAGTCCTGTGTGTGATTTTCTTTGTTGCTTGCCGGCTGTTGGGGTACCAGGAGGGACAGAAACCCCAACAAGCCGGCCCTCATGTTACAATGACCGTGGCTGGAAGTAGGCCGAGGAGACAGCATCACAGCCTCATTTTACAGGGAGGGTAGGACCTGCCCACCATGCCAAGGCTAGCCCAGTCTACGTCATGGCAAAGTCACCTTCTCCCGTAGCTTCCGTTCCTTCCGCTCCTGCACTGTGGTCAGGTAGTTGACAGCCGCGTACTCCAGCACTGAGAGGAACACGAACACGAAGCTGACCCAGAGGTAGATGTCCACGGCTTTGATGTAGGACACTCGGGGCATGGAGGCATTCACGCCCGTGATGATGGTGGACATGGTCAGCACTGTGGTGATGCCTGCCATAGATGGTGAGAAATAAGCACGCGCTTGCATTTGCCAAATACTGTGTGCCTTGTCCCTCTGTGACTCCGCCTTTTGTTCTGCCTTGGCTTAGATGGCCGGCACCTGCTCCCTTCTGGTGAACTTCCGCCTGTCTTTGCGTGCTAGCTGTCACAGATCTCTCCCTGCTCCTCATTTCCACTTTCTCCTCTGCACACCTGGCACCTCCATTACAGCCTCGACGCACATCCTTTCTGCACAAAGCCCCGGACACTTCAACATGAAGGTGTTGCTTTCCGTTGTCCCAAGAAAGGAGATGCAGATATAAGCAACCATGTGGTGAAGGAAGTCATTTCAACACTGTGTCCTTGGTGCCATAAAAGTTCTATAATCCTGGGCCCGTCTCTTCAGTGGACAGCCACCCCATGCTGGGCCTGTGTGCCTATCCAGCAGGACTACCTCAAGCACCTTGACTTCAGGTTTACCAGGGTCGCTTTATTTATAGGAGACAGATTTTAATGAGCGTGCACATGCGCTCTGCACAGTAGCTGTTGGAGTGCCAGCTAATTGCTGGAGAACAGGGCATCATTGATGGAAATTTGCCCAGGATTGCAAATTAAGCTCAGAACATTTGCTTGGAAAACATTAAATCACAGAGGATTGGGGTCACCCTAAGGGCGAGCTCCAAATCATTTCACCGAAGCCTGGTGGGACACCCTGTCGCTTGCAAACCGGAGCCGTCCGAGCTGTGGCGGTGGCTGTGACTGAACGGGCTCGGGGTTTAAGATGAGGGCATTTGATGGGGTGCTGAGAAAGGAATGGAGGGAGTGTATAAAAACTCGGGAATTCTGCCTGAAGATATGGTGAAACCCAAGACTTCTCATTTTTAATAATTCCCTCAAGGATTCTGCTGTAAAGATCCCTTGGGCCACCCTTTGAGAAACCTTGTTGCAGAATACATTATACAGACCAACAGGAAAAGCACACCAAGACTGGGAGCCCCCTGCCCAGGACCACAGTGAGCTGTGTGGATGGACAGCCCCTGGGGCCTGGATAGATTTCCACGTGATGCTTAGATTGTGTGGTGCTATTTAAACATTTCCAAGTTATTCTGTAAAGAGGAGTACAGGGCCCTCTTGAGAAGGATGGAAAAGAATGCCTTGGATTTCCAGACATGTGTAGTGTACACTTGAGATAGTCCTTACCTAAGGGAACTCTGGCAGGCACAGCTCTGCGGTCGATCCAGAAGGACACCCAGGACAGCATGACCATGAGGGTGGCGGGGAAATAGGTTTGGAGCAGGAAGAAGAAGATGTGGCGGCGTAAAGTGAAGTTGATATAGAGTCGGTTATACCAGCCTGGGGGACACAGGAAGAAGAGAGAGAACGCAGTGTAGCTGCTTGGCTCCTTCAACAGACAAGGCTTATTTATAGAATCTTAAATGTCTTAGAGCTCGCACTGGACCCCTACCTCAAACAGCGACTGTGCCATGTGGCAGCCCTCACCACTCATGTGAAGCCACTGTGAGGAATCTTTGTCCCCTTCGTAAAATGAAGGAAACCCTTGAGAAAATCACTTAAAGTTTTGTTCCTCAAAATATGGCCTTGGGCCTGTCTGCCTCACAATTGCATGGGAGATTCTTAGAAGTTCAGATGTAGCTCATGGATAGAGTCCTTGACCAGTATACACAAGGCCCTACACTCAGTCCCCTCCCCAGTTCTCTCTCTCCCCCTTCTCTCCCTCCTTCCCTCCCCCTCTCCCACCAGACTCCTACACTGTAGCCCAGACCACTGGAGTGGAACCTTTCTTGAACAGCAGCCTCATGGGGTTTGTGTGCAGAGCAAAGCTCGAGGCCGTACTTAAACAGCCCCCTTTTTTCTTTCCTTTTTTCTTTTTTAATTGTATTCTTTGAGGCAGGGTTTTACATAGCCCAGACTGGCCTCAGACTCACAATGTACCTGAGAATGACCTTGAATTCCTGATCCCCCTGTTTCCACCTTGGTAAGTGCTGGGATGTTGGTGACTAACCCCAGGCCTGACTCCCTTCCTGGATTTCTTTATGGGAAGAAAAGTGTTTTGAGGTAGAAACATAGTCTTTGATCTGGACATAGAGTAACAATCTCTGGTTTATTGGGCTTTGTTCTGCCTTTGTGATTTCCAGGGAAAGGAACACATGTGAGGATGTGGGAGGAGGGTGTCCAGGGCTGAGAATAAGTGGGGTCTTGGCAGCAATAGCTGAGGATTTGGTGTCCTCAGTGAGTATATTAGAACTGTTCTCTTGGTACCAGCAAGTGTAGAGGACTTTCAGAAGACAGACCCAAACCATTGAGCATCCAGGGTGAGCGTGCAGTGTGGGAGTTGGATTGGCACACTTAACTGGACTGTCAGTGCTCTCTAACGGATTAGGATGCGCTTACAAGGGGGAGATCCCGCAAGAAGAACTGCAGAATCTTCCGACACAGAAGCAAGGGATGGAGAATGTCAGCTGTCTGCCAGTGCAGGCCAGCTGCTGGGGAAGGCCATGGAGCACAGCCTCAGGCAATGGGCGGGGACGAGGCCGGTATAGACCACAGCCAGGTCCACATGATGACCAGGGGTCATTCTGAGGAACGGTAGTAGTGGTACAACCAGGGAGATGGAGAATGGCAGTCTGAACTGATACTTGTTTGTGGCTAGAGAGAGAGGCTCTCCTGAGCACATCATGGATGCAGTGCCAACGTGAGATAGCATCATCTCAAATAAACCCACACACATGGCTTCCCTTGGAGCCTTAGCTCGTATTTCCTAGGTAGTTATCTCTGATACATTGGTGGGTCAAAAATTACCTATAAACTGGGTGGTGGTGGCACACACCTTTAATCCCTGCACTCAGGAGGCAGAGACAGGCAGATCTTTGTGAGTTCGAGACCAGTCTGGTCTACAGAGTGAGTTCCAGGACAGGCTCCAAAGCTATAGAGAAACCCTGCCTTGAAAAACCAAATAGATAGATAGATAGATAGATAGATAGATAGATAGATAGATAGATA